TACGGACTTCAGTGTCCACAGGCTCTGGGCACGGAGGATGTCGCTGGCAAAGATGACGATCTCAGTGCTGCTTTCGGCACAAACTCTGGCTTGGTCTCTGGCAGCTCCCATCTTTCAAGGGAAGGGGGATGTGGCGCACTGCCTGCGTTTGGGAAGCCCAACATTCCTTTTTTGTCTTCGGTGGTGCTTTCGGAATCTGAATCTGCCTCCTGCGGTATCAAGCTGCTTCTTCTCGCTACAACCCGAATACAGCAGCACAGCGGGAACCTTCTTGCTTCTTTCGGCACGCATACAACACCTGACTCCTGCAGTCGGAACACCCTTTTGCTTGATGTACGGCTTGGCTAACAGGCCTCGGCACAAGTCTATCGCTCGGGTAGATCATTCACAACACTTTACCAGCCTGTACTCCCCAAATGTTCTTACGGCGCAAAGCGACATCACACCCAAGCCCCTGGACGCAGACATGCCGTCGATCCGATTGTCAAAACGCTGGCTTATGCTTCTGTTTTCATTTGTTTAAAGGCGGTTTCTGGTAAGGATGGTGCACCGGGGTATTTAGAAAGGGGGTCTTGGGGGAGAGTGATACCTAGAACGCACGGAACCTTTGCGAATCCTGAGATCCTGTCCCTTTGAAGGCCCGGGGGCTTTGCCGAAGTCGCCGTTCCGCAGGGTTTGGGATTGTGGTTTTTGCGCTGCAGCCTGGCTCCTAATTCTCAACACTGGGCTTAAACAAACGAACTCGTATCCTCGATCCTGACCCCAAGCAAAGGCGGCCAGGCTACCAAACCCCCTTGATCACCACTCCACCTTTCGGCAACTCTGGCCCCAAACCCTCCGAAGCCCTTCTGAAATCTGAAATGCAGCCAAGCCGGCGTGGACCACATAAGGCAGGCTGTACATCAAGCCGTACCTCTGAGCCAACTGTTCAAAGGATCTGAAAGCTAGGGCTTCGACCCTCACACTCTTTCGCACGAGCGTTTAGGGTTTAGGGTTTAGGGTTTAGGGTTTAGGGGTGTGTGGCGGAGCGGAAAAAACCATATAATCATTGGTGATAGCAGGGTTCAGGCGACTTCTGCTGCTATGACTCGTACGACGAATAGTCATGAGGCAGGTGCTGATACTCGTAGCATGCTGAAGACTAGCACCAGCATTGAGGGTCTGCAGGTCTGCGACTGCTGAATTAGCAACGTCTAGATGTTTCTGGTGTAGGCAACAATTTCTTCATTGGTGCGCCTGTGTAGTTGTGGCTGGGGCGTTGGAACATTGTGCCTTGTGATTCACATTACCTAGCCGCCTAACTAGTTACAACAATTCACCAGATCTCTATGCCAGGCCGAGAACGAGTGCGGGGGCACGAGAGGAGTCGAACCCACAGCCATGCGCACACTTCTGTGATGTGTGATTGCGGAACTCCCAATTGTAGACAATGTAAAACCCCTAACTTACTGAACCCCAAAACCCTAAACCTTGCTGTTAACCACACAGCTCGAGAGGACCAAGCCCGACCCGGGCTGAGGAAGCCTAAAAAGATCTCCGCACTCCTCAGCTGAGCTGCAACAGGTTGAGGAAGAAGGCGTCCTTTGGGATCAGCTTGGACTAGAAGGTTTGGGCGATGGTGTATATCGGGTCTCACCCTTTAGAAATGGCGCGCAGGAGGCCCGTTATAGAGCAGGAGGGTGTTGGGGGAATGGGGACACGCTGCGGCCGGGCACATGGTCGCTTCAACTCACATCCCACATTCAGAGGACATTCAAACGAGATGACAGGCAGAGCTGTCCAGGACCGGCCAATGGTATGCAAGCACATTTTCTGCTGGATCCGCACGCAACCCTGGCCCTGCAACTGCTGGCCTAGACCCACATTTCCTAAGCCACCTCAAGAACGCTTCCTGAGAGAAATACGAAAGCCGTCTGCGCGGAGAAACCCTGGTCTCCCTTGGTCGAGCTGCTTCTGGAAACTTGCGGTTGAGGGTCCACGGTGCATGACTGCTGCTTGAAACGCGTGAAAACCGCCACCCCCTTGCCCCTTTAAACTATCAACCTTTGCGTTAGTGGGTTCAACATGTTGGAAGGCTTAGGATCTGGAGTGCCTAAAGGGAGCCCGGTTTACGCCATGCAAGCAGCCTGGGAGTTTAAGTATTTTGGGTTTTAAGGTTCGTGGCTCGGGGCTTAAAATTTATGCTTTTGGGTTTAGCGCTCGGGCTTAGGATTTGGGGTTTAGGGTTTAGGGCTCGGGGTTTAAATCGCTGTAGCATCGATGCATGCGCCCTGCAGGATCGTCCTTGTGAAGGTGCAGGCTCCACGTGTACCTCTGCTTCTCGTCCTGCAGCAAAAAGCAGTGGGCTTTGGTGGGTTCAGAAATGTTCAGAAACGATTTTGGGTGTTGGGGTTTTGGCGGTTGAGGTAGGGCAGGGGTTTGGTCTTGGAGATGAATTGAGTCAGCTCTGCAGATTTGGAAGTAACCCTCCAAAGCCACTTCGACACCTTGGCCAAAGGATTGTTCTCGGAGACGTGGCCTTTCGGGGTTCTCCTTGTTTGTTTGGCTCCCACAATCGATCAGTGCGAAGGGTCCACGTTACCCTCTGGGCACATTGAAAGTTCCGGTAGTCATGACTGGCGAGCCAAGCGGCGCTTTTTGCAGGAGCTCAAGCAAAGCTACACAAAACGAGCCAAAATCCTGTCACTCGTCGATGCCCCATCGACGTATGCTTAGACTGTCGAGTCTCATTAGCACACGCCCCGAAACCCGAATCCCCTGATTAAGCAGGATGCCTGAATCGACACCTGCAAACCTGGATACTCCCGGCGGGTGCCTCGACAAAGGAAATCTCTTTCTTCAGCGTCTCCATGTCATCATCATGTGTGTTGCCTGAGGGAGGTCGCTTCGAGTTTTGGCAGCCCCGCGCCGCATAGTCCTGAGACCCATAGTTAGCGCCCAAATCCTAAGTACCCGTCCATGGCATAGGGAACTCAGACTCGGAGGCACGCGGAAGAAGACACATGCCTCGTCATTTTATCCCAAACTCTCTTAGTCCCGACAATCAGGTTTCTACTGAGAAAACGCCACACTCCGAAGCCTCCAACTTCGAACCCCGAGCTTGCATCTGGTGTTGCTAAGTCCAGAAGAAGCACGCCGGGGTGCCAGGCGGAGGGAGACTTCAGGATACATCATTCCAGGGTTCAGGGTTCAGGGTTTTAGGGTTGAGGAGGGGTTAATTGAGACGGCTTCGACGACCGTGATGACATCACAATGTAGACGAAGCGCCAGGCGCAAGATACTGTACAGGTCAGAATGCCATCGTGAGGGGCCAACACCAATCGACAGAGGACACTCCACTTCTAGTCGCAATCCGTCTACAATAACAGAGTATCAGCGGGGTTTTAGTTGCTCTACTGACAGCCGACCAATTCCCAAAGCCAACAAGACAAGCTCCCCTTGTGTCGTAGTCGTAGACATGCTAGCTGCTAGAGCTGAGCAAGACCCTGCGTTCAGTCCTCAACAAGGGGGTGAAGGATTTCAACTCTTCAGCATAGGGTAGAGCGCTTCTTTGCCCCAGCTGACCGTGCCTCCGCACGGGTTGACCAAGGCGTATATACGGCAGAAGCGATACAGGGGCCGTACGAATCAGAATAGGGTGTTGGTGAATATCGCGGTATCATTAAGAAGTATAAACATTGGAGTCATTAGAGGCGATCTCATTACTACGTGTTCAGCCCTATTTACCATGCAATTCCGTGAGCCTGTAACGGACACGTTACGGTCCCCCACAGTTTAGGGGCTCTAGGTTCAGAAATCCTGGAAGGCGCACTTCCAAAAACCTGAGCCTCCCACCCGCTCCCCCTTCCTCCCGTCAAAAAAGCATCCAACACCCTCAACCCTAAACCCTAAACCCTAAACCCTAAACCCTGAACCATAAACCCTAAACCCTAAACCCTCAACCCAAAACCCTCAACCCTGATCCATGCTTCTGGGCCCAAGCAGCTGTAGGCCAGCAGCGAGCAGAGGAATGGAGGCAAACCATCCTGCACTGCCTCATCTAGGGGCTTCTTCTGCTCTGCGTCTGCGTTGAGGGCTTGGGGTCGAAGGGTTCAGGGTTTAGACTAAGCTGCTTGGTAGACGTCGAGTCGTCTTCAGTATATGCTGGCAGTGATCTAACTGTGGTGCATACGCAGTCAATTTTTGGCTCTGTAAACCTCTGATGCGACACAAACATGTATATATATATGCGTGTATATATATATGGAAATATAGAAGCATTGCTGTGTTTATTCAGTTCTGCGTTTGTTTGTTTAACTGCTTAGTTATGTTTCTTTGTTTATTTGTTCATACCTATGTAACACTTTGTGTTGCATGTTTATCATGCATACCCCCCTACATGCACATATCCACCATCTCGCATACATGCGATGGCGTGTCCTTGTAACGTGTGTCTCATGCAAAAGTATGTTGACAGCTTGCCTTCCATTGGTGGGTAGAAAATACCCCATGGAAGGAAACTTCAAGAAAGCCCGGGTTGGGGCTCTGTGGCGTAAGGCTACGGAATTCTTGCAACTGGGGAAGGCTTCGGAACCTTAACGCTACCGCTACCGCGCTAAGCTTTCGGGTTGAAAGGTCCAGGATGCCTCGAACACGAGCCTTCATCCTCGACCCCACAAAAAGGAATGCTGTGAAAGCGAGCATGGTTTGAAGGACGCCGGAGGTTTGGCTCCGCTTGCTGGTCTTTCCGGTGCAAGGCTCACAACAGGCTCGGACATTCAAAGGAGCCAGAAGCAGGACCCTTTTATGAACAGCAATTGAGGCCGTCAAGGCAGTGAGTAGCAGCAGCGGAATGCTTGCTTCGCAGTTTGAAGTCCCGCGCAGACATCCACAGACCTTCTTGCGCTGCATTGATGAGTGGGAGCCGCTGTGCTCCGAAGGCAGCTGCATCCGCGCCAGCATGTGTCGGCAGCCGGCCGTGTCATTCATGAGGTGCAAGGAACGTGCACTGCAAGGCTCGTTCAAAGCCGGCGTCGCTTCGCTCCCGTGTCGGATGCAAGGTGGAAGGACTCGGGGCATAGTAGGCCTCCCAACTCATCAAATCCCCAACGCTGTGCATACGCAAAAGCTGTCATGCCAGCAGGATCCCGGACGTCTTTGTCTGCACCAGCGTCCACAAGCAGCTTTACGACATCGGCATGGCCACCAGCAGCTGCCCACATGAGGGCGGTCGTGCCGCTGTTCTCGTGGATCGCGTCCATGTCAGCACCACCCTCCAGCAACATGCGCACGATAGAACAGCACCCTCTAAGGGCAGCTGCCGCTAGCAGGTCATCCAGGTCATCATCCCACGCATTGGTGCCGATGTGAGAACCCGCATTCAGCAGAAGGCGTACAATCTCAGAGTGCCCTTGAAACACTGCTTTCATGAGTGCCATCTCGCCGTATCCCTCATCCCGGACGCACACGTCCGCCCCGGAATCCACAAGAAACCGTACAATCGCAGTCTTGCCCGACTCGGCTGCGAGCATGAGGGCCGTTCGGCCATCATAGTTCTGCCGGTCCTTGTCAGCGCCAGCTTCCACGAGCAGCTGCACGAACTCCAAGTGGCCAGCATCTGCTGCACTCATGAGCACAGTCATGCCGGACTCTCCATGCCGTACATCCTTGTCCACACCAAGGTCTATCAACATGTGCAGGATCTTGAGGTAGCCTTCCGTGGGCTGGCCCAGGCGAGCCCACCTCCACAGCCCCTGAGAAGCTGCTTCCAAAAATGGGGTGTATCCAAACACATCCGGCAAGTCAATGTCCGCACCGGTTTGCACAAGCAAGCGGGTGACCTCAGCAAAACCAGCAGCTGCTGCATGCATGAGGGCAGTCCTGCACTTTTCATCCCGCATGTCTTTGCTGGCTCCAGCTGCAATAAGGAGCTGTACGACACCTGCATGGCCGCGACTTGCTGCGAGCATGAGAGCCGTTAGGTCTTCATCGTCCTGCAGGTCCTTGTCAGCGCCAGCTTCCACCAGCAGCTGCACAAGCTCGGAGTGGCCAGCATCTGCTGCGTGCATAAGAGCCGAAGAGTCATTTTCATCCACCGTGTCCTCGTCCATGCCTGCTTGCAGAAGGAAGCGTACGGTCTCAAGAAGTCCACTGTCGGCAGCTAGTACGAGCTCATTTCCGGCAGCATCTTGCTGATCTTCACGAATTTCGGCCGACCGTACCAGGTACGAGTCATCAGGCGCATCCATGGAATCCTCTAAGCACGTGCCATCAGCCACAAGTTGTTGCAAGCATATCGGAAAACCAAGCTCCTTTCGCAAATGCTCTTTCAGTTCCAAAACGGAACGGCACTTCTCCTTTGAGACTGAGGACAGTTCTTCTCCCGAAACGCTCCGCACAGACAGCATGTCAGTAAGAGCCGACGGGGGTTCCCCCTGCACCCAGGGCTCATGTAAAGTTCGTAGCTGATGTCAGTGGAACTTCAGAAACCCTAAACCCTATAAACCCTAAACTCTAAAACCCTAAACCCTAAACCCTAAACCCCTATAAACCCTAAACCCTAAACCCTAAACCGACGATTCCTGTACTTGACCTGCGCCGGCTCGTGGGTCCATTTTGCCATGTAAGGTGAAGAAATTCGCCTTGATAAGCAGCTACGTTATTCCTTTGGGTTAGGGTTTTAAGGTTTAGGGTTTAGGGCTGCCTATCAGAATTATACTCTAGAGGAGCCCCAAAACCGTCTTCTACTTCATACATAGGGCCCTACATGACTCACTTCACTGATTTCAGCCGTAAGCGAGAAGGCTGCTAAGTCTGAAGGCTTCCTGCCGCGGGTGACCGGAAATCCAATTGCTGTTGCCGGTTTTCTCTAGACCCTTGAACTAGGTTCCCCAGTAGCCCCTCAATAATAAGGGTACCCTTTTTCCTACTATTTGACTTGAATAAGGGAACCCAAAAAGAAAAAGGGCTGGGGAACCTAGTGAAGCTTCGAACCTCGGACCCTAAACCCTGAACCCTTTTTGGAACCCAGACTCTGCTGATCCCTAAATCCTAAACCCTAAACCCTAAACCCAAACCCTGCCGGAAACCCGAGGACCGCTAAATTGGTCCCTTTTCGGGGTCGCTTCCATAAGGGCGCCGTACTATTTTGGGGACCTACAAAGGGACCCGAATTTGGAGAGGCCTTAATCATTAGAATTGGGTTTCGGGGTATGCTCCACTATAACTATAGTAAGGAACCCCCAAAATATAGTATAGGTAATTATTAAGACCCCTACGCTATGTGAAACTCCTACAACTGCCCTGAACTGCGAGGTCGTTTCGATTCCATGACAGTCTGCTTCGAAGAGCTGGTGTTGGCATTGTTCAGAGAACCGAGTTGAAGGAAAGTTGGGTCCAAGCCCAAGACCCATACCCTCAAGGGTGAGTCTTAAACTCAAGCCTTGCCCTTTCTTAACCCTGAAATCAAGGGCACTGAAGAGCCAAGGGAGCCCTTCGTAGAGACTTGGAACCTTGGTCATGAAACAAAACCTCAAATTGAACCCCAGTTCTTAGAACCCCGAACCCTAAACCCTCATCCCTAAACCCCTAAACACTAACCCCTAAACCTTAAAGCCAACAGGGAAATCAAAACCCCTGTACTAAAAGCGAAAGCCGAAATCGAAAGACGAAGGAATCGGTGCTTGGCACCTTCGGCCCGTAGCGCACGAAGTATTGGCAAGCCTAGGGATTCCGCTCAGGGAGATGACGTGGGGTCTTAGGGGCTTCGGGCTTAAGGAGTCGGGCTTAAGGCTTAGGGCTTTAGGGGTTTGGGGGTTGAGGGTTTGGGGTTTAGGGTTTAAGGCTTTAGGGGTTTGGGGGTTGAGGGTCTAGGGCTTGAAGGTTCTATGGGATGTCGGGTGGAGCGTTTAGGGCTCAAGGTCAGGTTTGGGGGTTTAGGGTCTCGGGCTCTCTCTGTCTCGCTCTGCGTGCTTCGGGCTCAGGGTTCAGGATTTAGGGTTTAAGGTCTGAAGTTCGCTACGACTCAGGGTTCGGGCCTTAGAAGATAAAGTCAGGAATATGGGACGCAGAGTAGGACTGGGCCGGAAAGACGAGACATTGTACTGCAACTCATGTATGGGCCTTTGTAAATAGAATGTTCGTTTCGGGGGTCTAGCAACTAGTACACCGTCATTTATTACGAAGCATATCGACCCCTATGTTAGAGTTTGGTCCGGCTAGAGCCGGAGGGAAACTGGCATGGGCTAGGACAGCCACACAAACCGCAGCATAGACAGAACCGAAAAGGACTAGAAAGATCTTAACCCAGAAGACCAAAAGAGAGCGATTCGTATCTAGTCTGATCCTATCTAATCCAATGAGTACATCGCGCTAAAAGGTTCCGTCAGATGCTCGGACATCAGGGCTGCACCCCAGCCCCCGCAAGATCCACGGAAGTCAACACAACACCCCTAAACCCTAAACTGAAAACCCTAAACCCTAAATGTTACCTAGGTTGAAAGAGGCTCCTTTTCCACTCCTTGGCTTCTCGCGCTTCAAAACAAAATACCCCGACACTCAAGACATTGAATCAGCGGCAATGTTGAGGGCCCTAGCTACACCTCCCCAGCGAAACCGTGAAAGAAACACCAAGACATTCAACCAAGCCTGTCTCGTACCCTAACCCCTCCCTGCAAGTTCTACCATTAGCCGCTTTGTCTGTGGTGCCAGGCATACCCCGAATCCGCAATGAAACTAGGCCTCTGGGGCTTGAGGCTGCGAGTTTTGGGTTGTTTTTTTGGTGGTCAGACTTCTTGTTTCCTAGAGGCCAAACGAATCCTCACCAGCACGCGAATCTAAAATCAACTTAGCTTGGTTGAAGAGCATCTGTTCCTTACTCTTTCAAACAGCGAAACACACTCTTTTAGACAACGAAGCAAAACTGCAAAATTGCGCCGTGGAGCGAAATACATCGATGTCAGCAGCGCTGCCATGCGGATGAAACGAAGCACCTCGGACGCGGTTCACGGTTGAACACGTCCTTGTACGACTTCTTCAGGTTACCCAAAATCGCTGTCTTCACTTTGGTACGCTAAACCCTAAACCCTTAACTGCTGAAAGCGCCGCTGACCATTTGCATGGGCGCTCGAGGCTCCGACCGAGGCCCTTGGCCGAACGTCTCGTCAGAACGGTGAGGGAGGTTAAAGCCTCCCGGTATACGAGGACTGTGGTGATGCCGCCCTGCTCATGACCTCTCTGCCGTTAGGCAGAAAAGATCAACCCCAAATCCGGCACCATTGAGGTCAATGTGATTTTATGGATGTGGCTTGGGGGGGTCTGGGGGGCGACCCCCCAGCCCCAGGCTGGCAGCCCTAAACTAGTTCGGGTGGTTGGGGCGGGACTACATGCTGACGCAAGCGCACGATATAACTGGGTGCGGCCCTATTCCTAAAGCAAAAGGCACGCCCACTGCGTGCACACTGTACACACACACACCCTAAACCCCAAACTCGAACAGAGGCGACCTGAAGTTCCACAGTACGGTGGCACACCGGCTACGACCGGATCAAGAGCTCACCGGTGTAGGTTTTGAGGTTTTAGGGTTCAGGATTTAGGGTTCCGAACCCGAAGCCCCGACACTGTGGGAGAGCCCGAGGTCTGGGCGGCTGTAAGTTGTGGGGTTCAGGAGGCTTACAGATTTAGAGATTAGGGTTTCGGTTTTCGGTGGCTTTTTCTACCGAGGATCTCGGGGTTTAGGGTAGGGCTACTTTGCGGAAGCCCCAAGCCTGAACCCTACAAGTACCTGCCTCCTGGGCCCAGGGGTTTAGGGCTTTAGGGTTTTTAGGGTTTCAGGATTTGGGGTTTGTAGGGTTTAGGATTTTAGGGTTCTAGGGTTTGTAGGGTTCTCCCTCATGCAGCCCTAACCTACCCCCTGAGCCAGACGTGTCAGCCCCAAACCAGGGATTTGCCATGGAGATTGCTGATTCACTTCCCCGAAACCCTATAAACCCTAAACCTTCAAATTGCGGATTCAGTTTCCCTAAACCCTAAACCCTAAACCTTAATCCCTAAACCTGAAACCTTAAACCCTAAATCGCTAGGGGTGTCGGGATATTCGGGCTGGAGCCTCGCAAGCTTTACTCTCAAGCGCTAACCCTAGGCACCAGCACTGAACCCCCTAACTCGCGGCCTCAGCGCTGGGCTCTATCTATCCCTAACCCAAAAGCTTTAGGGTTTAGTTATAGGGTTGTAGGGTTTAGGGTTATAGGGTTATAGGGTTTAGGGTTATAAAGTATTATAGGGTTATAATAGGATTGAGGCTGCGGGAAACCAGCTCGGCACTCGGGCGCCAGACTCGCAAGAGGGGGTACACCCTTCAAAAACCCTGTAAAACCAACAACCCCATAAGTTCAAAGCCTCAACTTCGAAAATTTGAGCCTTCTTTCAGTTTCAGGTGTCTGTATGTCGAGGAGTCTGCTGCACGGACTGTTGGTGCTAAGCCCCGCGACCGCGACCAGAAGCCCACAAGGTAGGGCATCGAATAAACCCTAAACTAGCTACCAACCCCTGAACCCTAAACCCCTAA